TAATATATTATATATATATATATTTGGAATTATACTACACAATATAATAATATGGCACATAATATATAATATCCTACTTTAGTTGACTGATATACTCATTTAAGATTGTATAAGAAAATTTATCAACATCTCTATTCTCACACATATATGCACAGAGACACATATCCTTTTCAATTAATTTCTGAGCCAGTAGGAATTAGCATTACAATGTTAAAGTGTGGGGCTATCATACACACTGCCTTCTCCCGCTTGAAAATTATTCTAGGATTTAGATTTTACCATCATTTCCCAATCACAGCTTTAGATAGCACCCATGTTCTTAAAGGATTATTAGAATTCTTTGAAAAATCCAATTAGATTAAAAATGCACAGCTATTAATCCTTTCTTACTCTATTAAATCTAAGGACCTAGATTTTCAGGATCAATTTTGATCAACTATATTAAACTAGCAAACTTGACTATATTAGTTTTTCTTCTCAACTATTTATATACCATTACATATACTCATAATACCTATTAACAATTAATAATGTCTATGTGAAATCAAATAAGCATAGATAAACCAGAAATAAATTAGTTCACCTATTAATTATCACATGTGTTCTATTTGCCTCTAGCTACATCTGACCAGAAGGAGTTAAGAATGAAATGAAGTTTAATCAAGGATAATTTAATTAGATGAAATGTAAATAAACATTTAAATGGAGATTAAATAAAACAATTAAGTTAATTAAAACAGTGTGTAAGTCAATAGATGCCAAGTTAAAATTGAAAATTTCAAGGTTAATATTTATCATTAGTGCTTAAAGTGTTTATAATTAAATTGTTTCCTCTTGCCATATAGTAAATTCAGTTTATTTTAAGCTCTTGATTTAACATGTGAATTGAAATGCTAATGCTCTGTTGGTACTTCCATTTCTGTACGTGGATCCTATTGGTCCTTACTCCTGCCTTGTGTAAACACCTACTTGTGGAGGAACAGTTCCCCAAACCTGCTTATCACTAAAGCAATAAGTAGAAGTTAAATACAGTCTAAGGTAAAATAATTTAGAATCTTCCTTTAAGGCAAACCCAAGAGGCCTCTATCATCAAATAGTACTTCCTCTCACTCACTGTACACACCCAAACCCAACCTCAACTACTTAAAGCCTCAGCAGACTTTTATGGCAAAGAAATTGTTTACTAGGCTCATTCAATAATTGCCATTGGACTAATCTACTCATAGTTTCTACTTGGCTAATTTTTCCTCTATGTCTCTTTCCTGATTTTGGTCTGTAGCTGATAATAGAATATTCTCTCTCCCTCTCTTTCTCTCTCTCTCTCTCTCTCTCTCTCTCCCTCCCCTCTCTCTGGGACTCTTGGTAGGTTAACCAGGTTCCAGTGGATGGACCCACACTGAAGGACATCTGGAGACACTAATTAGACCATACATATATATATATATATATACACACATATATATATGACATTATCCCACAGGAGGTGATAATGATCCCCTGAGAAGCCATAGACTATCAAACAAAAAGCCCAGTGTTATGCATGTGAAATAACCCTTTGAATTGCTGGTTGGGGAAGGGGGCTGTTAAGGGAGGACTCCCCAAAACAACAAAGGGTATTGCTGTTGCTCATCATTGTCTTCCAGAACTTGAAGACCAATTAATCATAACACTGTGATTTTGGCTAAGGATTTCTTAAATCAAGCTTGTTTACTGAAGGCCAGTTCTAGCTCTCCTACTGTTTGAAGGTGCTATGCAAGCTGCTATGGGAGAAAAATTAGCATCATTCTTTACCCAACTGTAAATCCTGTGAACTACAATAATGACTGGTTGGCAAGATATGCGCAGCAGTGCAATACTGATACTCGAATCTCAGAGACACCTATAGCTGTGTAACTGGAATTTAGGCCTAGGCATCTGATACGAACTTATGCCTTGTACTCTAAACCTTGGCAAAAACCAGAGGCTAGAAGAGAGGAACTTATTTCCCTCTAAATACAGCAAGAAATTATGTGATAAGTTTATGTTTTTCTCTAAAATCTATGACCTCTCCAGCCATGTGTATCTGGCTATGCTTACAGTACTTTATTATTTCTTACTATTTTCTAAATATATATCCTTATATTTACAGACAAGTGTACCTCTTACCATTCATCAAAGAAACTTCTTTTTTGCAACAGATGGAGACTATTACAGAGTACCACAACTAGTCAAATACAGAGAGTGTCTGAGGTGTCCAAGAAAAAGTGGCAAATCTACAATGCAACCTCTACACGTAAGGCTCAAAGATCATAGCAGTATAGGATGTGAAAAGAATATCAATGCATCTCTCAAACCTCACCAGTGAAGCTTCCTCATTCAACGGATGGTGTTTAATCCATAAATCACAAGTGGTCAAAGTGCACAGTTCAAGAGACTGCAGCAAACTTATCCCTGAATAGGACACCTGTATCAAATCATTGCCTCACCATGCTCAGGGACCATTGGGGAAGGGGTGGCAGAAAGATTTCAAGAGAGGGAGGTGGTAGATGATCACAAGGAAACCAATTATTCGAGATAGCTGGGAAATTTCTCATATTAATTTAGAGCAATAGTAACAACATGCACAAGACACATGAAAGCTCAAGACAGACAAAAACACAACATTGAAGTGGGGAATAAGTCCCAAACTTCACTGAGAAAATATGGGCAAATGATGACTATTGAGAGATGGAGAGTTGTTTTTATGTTGTTGTTGGTTATTTTTGTATTTTTTTAACGGTATGACTGTAGATAGGTTAATCAAGCTCAAGTGGATGGACACACACTGAAGGACATTTGGGGACAAAACCTTGGCTTGACAGCTTTAATATAAATGACAGAGTACATGAAAACTGTCAGGGGTGTGTAAGAAGGGTGAAGACAGAGGAGGGGGTCCAAATATATTCAAAATATATTGTATGAAACTTGCAAAAATTCAGCTAAAATTATATAAAAAAGAAAAACTAGTTATATATTGGATTTTGGGGTCTTTTCTGTCTATTTCTAGTAAAATGATATGTTAAATCAGTAAATCATGGATTTATTTTTAAACACGTTTTGGATAATCCCTTCCTTTTTTTAAAATATGAATCTCAGGAATCAAATAATGCAATTTCTCTTTATTTTATATAAAAAAATCTTATCTGTCAAGTATTTTGCCAGATATACCATTATACTTTGGAAAATAAAAGAAAGCTAACATAACAGGCTTGTGTCATATAAATTCCATATTCTATCATTTCTTCCAGCTATCCCTGGCAATTTCTAAAACTACAACAGACCCAAGTACAATACTGTATTGGCATAGCTTTTTACAAATAAATACTGTTTTCATATATGCAAGAATCTCAAACCAGTAGTTAAATTAGAATCTTTCTTTTCCTCAAGCTACTACTGTCAAACATGAACAAAATTTAAAGGATAAAATATGTTCATTTTAAAAGAAAAAAGAGCCTGCTATACTGAGAGATTTCTTTTACAAAATGCCCCAAACTGCCTTTAGTGATATGTGCAAAAACCAGCAGTTCTGGTGTCACAGCTCATGTGCAGTAAATGTTTCATTTTCTTCCAGGCAACAAGGGGTTTATCACAATTTTTTTTCTCAGCACTTTTCAGATTTAGAATGTATATACTTTCTGTTTTCCATCTGATTTTATTGAACTACATAAATATGATAGTTTTGTTTTATTTGTAAAACCTTGCATATGTGACTAAAAGCAATAAGCAGGGTGTTTTACTCTGTGATAAAATTGTTGTATTTATGCATATGACTATAGCCAGATGTGTAATATCCATCTAATCATGAAGCAACATCCAAAAATTTCAATTAAAGAACTATTTTCAGATAATCAAATTTATTGAATTATTGATTTTATGAAGCTGAAGGCCACTTTCACATACTTCATTTCTAAAGGTGGACTTTAAGTTTACAGAATCCTATATTTTTCTTCATTTAGTCAACATAATATTCCGGTTCCAGTTTATGCTTTTTAGAAAGGAGGATTTTAGAACAGAATTCATACACAGTGTTTACTATCTGTAGATTTATTATGAACCCAACAATGAAATACTTTTGAAAGGAGAAAGTAAGGAAAAAAATAAATTCATTCTTACTTGGTTATATGCACAACAAACTAGTATTAATCTAGGAAAAATAAGTAGAAATAGTATTTTGTTTAAAAAAGTCACCTTATTCTGAGATATCCATCTTAATTTAAACACGTGGTTACTTGAATTTGCTCTCTTCACTTTGGCACAGCTAAATCACTAGATAACTTACACATCACTCAGTGCTTGGGGATATGATTGGTTGGAAATGTATAACATCATACTTTTTAAAATATATTTAAAAATTCAATCTTTCACTTAATATGTTTACAGAAAAAGAGGTTGGGAAACTAGTTCTTGAAAAGTCTTCGGAGCATACAGAACTCACGACCTTGGAAAATCTTGCATCAAAGAAAAAATCTCAATTCTCTGAACTCTTACTGAAATACAAATATTTTATTCCCACAGTTCTGTACATTCTAGTGAATCAAAAGTACAATTTGTGTGTCCTTGGAGCGTGCTCCTCTTTGAGATGTCAAAAGCAACATGGCTCAATGCTGGGCCTTTTCTTTTTCATTTCCAAGCTTTGTCTCCTTCCTGTCGTCCAAACTGGGTAAAATCCAGCATGCTCTGAGGAGTTGAATACCATGAGGCAGTAATATGGACCTGAATTTAGTGGAGATTGAAGCTCCAAAATAAATATAACACTGTGTGTCAAATAAAAAAAAAATCTCCTGTACAAATCAGAAGATATTAAAAATCAATGAATAGACAGCAACTATTTTTTAAAAAATCATACCTACATAAGCATCTCAAAACTATTGCAAACTTTAGAATTATTTACCTTTTTCTTATTTGGAATAGTTCATATAATTTATTGGCTAAACAGTGATTTATATTGTCTTAAATAAAAATAAAATTTTAAAGATTTTTATTGAGGGTTTTCACTTGGGGAAGTTATTTGGAGAATTTATATATTTCTAAGTAAAATATTTTGCTCACCAAGAGCAATAAAGTTCTGTTGAATTCTATCATGTAGTGAGCTAGACGCAGCAGTGTAAATCAAATTTGTCCCAAGTTTTGATACGCAAGACGTTCCAGGATTTTTCAATGGCACACCATGTTCTACTCTCACAGCACCGTGAAGGTAAGTGCAAGGCATCCTTAGCTAACTGACAACACAGGGCACTGCTTAGGTGCCTTTGCAGGTATATGAAAGTTGCTATCTATTCATAAACCACTGAGCATTTCTCTTTATCAAAAAAACCTTCAAATGCTTAGAGTCTGTGGTCAGTGCAGTCCCTTGGATAAGTCTAGTGAAACTATGTTTCATCAAATCAGAAACTTAAACAGTTAAAAATGGAGAAATATTTACACCGTTTTTCTCCAACAATTGGAATTCTTGTGTTCTGTATGTAGTATTGTTCCCTTTACTTTCTTTTTCTTTTTCTTTTTTGCTGTTACTTTTTCTTCAGTACGTTTCAAATTAGGGTCCAAGGCTATGAATACAAACTCTCTTGGCCATTTCCATACATGTCTGCCAGCCGTTTAAAGCGGGGACCCCAGTCACTTAGGTAGTCATAATTCTGATCAGAGTTTGAGCTGATAGAATCTAAAGAACTGAGTGATTCAGCAACTGAACCGTTTCCTTCAAATGCGTAAGTCTGCAAAGAGTCATATGGCGGAGCACCCGGATCCACATCAGCTTCCTTCAGTCTTTCCCAAATAAATTCCCTAAAAATAACATTATCTGGGATGCTTTTAAAAGTCGGTCGACTCAAGAACTGAATTTCTGGAGTCACATCCCTCCGGGTTTTGGTGTCTCGTATGACATTCAGGTTTCTCAGGGCGGCCATGTCAAATGCTTCTGTGTCTTCTTCTCCCCCGCCCTCATCATCATATCTGACGATATTTTCTCTAATATCTCTTTCTTCATCAAAAATGAGAGGCTCTTTTTTCCGTCTTCTCATAGTGACAATAAGGAGGATCAACACTGAAACATGAAATAGCAAAGAGAAAATGTCAGTAGATTAAGGGCTGGCCCTCCTCGTCATAAGACTAACAGACATTGCCTCCCCACCCCTTTACAGGAAAATGGATGGCTTCCCACTTCTATGGGAATTCACAGCAGTGCATTTTGCTAAAATTGAAAAAAAGAAAGGCTTTAAAATGGAAAGCTTTTATACATCAAGAAATTCTTTTCCACACCCGCTCAGGATTGATGTCTTGCTCTAACCTCCCAAGCGTTTGATAGAAAAAAAATTCAAGGGCCAGTTCAGGATAAATATAATAATTTCAAAGCCATTCAGCACAAAAGGATCTTTTTGAACTCTTTAATTGCTGGCAAGGAAAAATGGTATTCATGAATGTTTTGTGTCTAATTTAACAAGACCAATTTCAGAAGAAAATGGATTACAGTATTTGATCAGGGTCTTTGAAGAAATGTTCCCTCCTTTCAGCTGTTTAGTAAAATCCAGCATGCCAGGCCATATATAAAGATTAAAAGCTTCTATAATAAATAGAGTCCTTCTTTCATGTATGAAATACTGAATTTGGCCTTTTGTGCATTACACCTAGAGACGGAAAACAGGCTGTAAGTTTTTCAGTCACTGGCAAGAATAGATTTAAGAAACAAATCGCTTAAACCTGAGGAAATTTCTTCATATATCAAAATATATATTAAATGCTGAAGCATGCAATTGCACTGAAGACAGCAACTAACCAGATATTCTTTGACTTTCCACAGACTGAATAGGCTCCATATTTTTAATAAACTAATAAAGTGTCTTTGCTACCTACACATGACTTCCTAGACTGAGAACATGGCTTCCAGAACTGAATAAAAATGAATACAATGGCTGTTTTTTAAATTTGGAATTAAAATTTATTTAAAAAGTATAAAAGAAAGTATGAATTGTCTTTGTCTACAAAAAATGAAAATAAATAACATTTTAATGATTATTACTCCTTGATTTTTTTTTTCCTGGAAGTTTTAGAACTATGAAAATGTATACTAACTGGATTTTTGTTACCAAAAATTACCTTATTCTCAGCATATTTTTTCCTTTTATTTTTAAATGAATTTAATTTTTTAAAGCAGGGTCTCACTATGTAGGCCTGGCTGACCTAGAATTCAGAGAGTTCTGCCCCCTGCTCCTGCCTTAGTTCTGCAGCTGAAGGTATGTTGCCACCACACCTGTTTTATTTGTGTGTGTGTGAATTATGTATATTTGTATATATGCATATGCATGAATATGGACATGAGCATGCTACAATGTGCATGTGGAGGTCTAAAGATTATATCAGGAGCAAATCTATGACTTCCCTCTTGGTTGAAACATGTTCCCTCTGTTGTTTGACACTGTGTAAACCAGGCTAAGTGGCCCAGACTTCAGGGGATTGTCATGATTATGTTTCCCAACTTGCTATAGGGTACTGGAATTGCAGACCTATCCTACCATACTTGGCTTTTATGTGGGTTCTGAGGGTTCAAACTCAGATTCTCATGCTTATGTAGAAGAACATTTCACAATGAGCCATATCTCCAGCCCCCACTGTGTGTTTTAAAAGAAAGGAGGGTAAAGCTCAGTGACAGAGCCCTTGCCAGAATGTACAAGACTTTGAGTTTGATCTCTACCACTGAAATTCTGATTATACTTAAAATGTCTCATGGAATTTGTGTTTTATTTTTAAGTATATATTTGAGAATAATAATATACAACCAAAAAGACACTTTTATAATTTTCCACTTCAGTAAGCTTTTAAAAATGGAAAGCAGGGTGGGAATCTGGAAATTAGCTCAGTGGATAATGCACTTGGAAAAGAATGAGGTCCTGTGTTTACATCCCCAGCACCCATGAAAAAGCCCGGCATGACAGCACATGTCAGTAATCCCAGTACTGGAAAGAGCTTACTGGCCAGCAATATATCAAGATGGTGAGCCTCAGGTCTTAGTGAGAGACACCATATCAAATATTAAGGTGGAGAAGAAATTGAGGAAGAAATCCTGATATCAATCTCTGGCCTCCACATGACACAGGTGAACATGTGCAAACACACACATACACATATGCATATACCACATAAATACATACAAATGTGACCCCCAATTAATGAAAGAGTGAGTACTCATCTAATTTCAACTTTAGAGAAGTTATTAATGGTAATGAAAATTATATACTTTTTTCTTTTTTTTTGGTCTTTTTCAGACAGGGTCTCCCTGTAGCCCCAGCTCTACTGGATTCATTGTCCAGGCTGGCCTCGAACTCACAGAGATCTCCCTACCTCTGCCTGCTGAGTGCTGGAATTAAAGATGTGCATCACCACACCTGGCCAGAAAATTATATACTTTTAAAAGTATTCATTAGCTGCCTATTTTCCATCATCAGTCTGAAAATGATTGATGAACATTGTATTACAGAGACTTGGAAATACTTTTGGAATTTCATTTTATTTTCTGATGATGCTTTCTGTTCTTACTTGGCTGGCCTACTGTTCATCTCCTGAGATTTACACTTTTGGACAGTCCAATAGTTAGCACTGTAATTCATTCCTTACTTTCTCACCCTTCCTTTGTTGCCATGACACATACATTCCAGTGATCACTTTGTTCCCATTTACCACATTCGAATGTTCCCAGATGGCTTCATCAAATAGCCAACCACACAGTTCAAGTGTTACACTGCTGTCTGATCTCAAGCAGTCTAGTGTCATCTTTCTTACTAAGTATATTGTCTTCTTTTCCTAGAAAGTTAGCATTTCCACCACTCCAAAACTGTGCTGTTTTTGTTTCATTTGTTTCTTTGAGTATTGGGTTTTGTTTTTATCATGCTAGGGATGAAATCTGGACTCAGCTAAGTAAATGACCTATCACTGAGCTCTATCTCCAGTCAAAGTTCTGTGGTCTTCAAGGTCGATATGAAGATAGTATCACAGAATGACTTTTGGCTTTGAAGATACTGCCTACATGACCTATAGAAAAAAAACAAGGAGAAATCAAGCTGATATAGATTTCAAAGCCTCATTTCTGTGGTTAGCTTTCATAGTACTGGAAGGTGATATGCACACTACTGGAAGAAAATAATCATCAACTTTACCAGGCCATGAATTTTCTCGACTACAACAATTGGCCTGGCAAGATATGCTCATCAGTGCAATAGTGGTATGAATATTATGGGAATAACCAACCACTTTATAGTTAGAATTAAGTTTCAGTTCATAATATGAAGCCCACACCTGAAGTTGATTTTAGGCCTAGGAACCTGAGGCTAGGCAGGACACAAGGCATAGGGTAAAGCCCAATACTATTATTCTGCTAAATATTTATAGTTTTATACTAACCCCTAATGACTTATTATTATACTCATAGACTAATGGATCTCTCAACTCTCACCAGAGAATCTCCTTTGTCCAACAGCTGGTGAATAAAAGAGAAACCAACAACATGCTAATGTGCAAAGAACAAGAGACTGCAGAGTACTTATCCCTGAATTGGCTGACTGTATCAAACTTCTGCCCCCCAAGAATCAGGGATCATTACAGAAAAGAGGGTAAGAGTAATGTAAGAGCCAGAGGTATTGGATGACCACAAGAAATAGAATTTTGCAGACAGCTGGGAAGTTACTCATACGAACTCACAGGGGTGCTGGCAGCATGCCCAAGTCTCATGCAAGATCAAAACAGTCAAAATTCCATATAGACATGAAAAAATGAATTAGAAACCCCAGCCTCAACTTTGGAATTATTAGCAACCAATGGCTCTTGGGAAGGAGAGACTAAGTCTCCTTTAAGGATTTGACCCATGATACATTAGCCAAGCTTCAGTGGATAGACCCACACTGAAAGATGTTTGGGGAAATAAATTAGACTCTGACTGCTGGTAGAATTACATAGTCATGCAACCACTTTGGAAATCAATGCGGAAATTTCATAAAAAGCAAAAATAAATCTACCATATCATCTGGTTACACCACTCCTTGGAATATACACAAAGGATTCATCTACTGCAGAGATACTTACACAGCCATGACTTTGATGCCATTTTCACAACAGCTGAGAAATGAAAACAACCCATATGTCCCTCAACTGATGAATGGATAATTAAAATATGGTACATTTACACAATGAAGTTATAATCAGCAGTAAAGAAAAAATAAATTATGGAAATAGAGTGCTACAGGCTCCTGGGATCTTGTTCATATGAACCTACAGCAATGGTGTCAGCATGCACAAGACCCATGCAAACTCAATAAGACAAAAACCCAGCACAGAATTGTGGAAATGGGCAGCAGGCCCCAATCTTAGCAGAACTATTTGCAGCTGATCTGGTGAGGAAGAGCTGATCTTCTTAAAGGGAGGGACTCTAGATAGGCTGACAAGACCTCAGTGGACATAAAGACAGGGAGAGAAGAGAAATAAATAATGCTTAGTTGGTGTGAAAAACCAGAGGGAAGGTCTAGAACTTGTAATGCTAATTACTCTTGCCGTTACTTCTCCTTCACATCCCCTATTCACCAGTTGAGGACTTTCTTTCTCTGTACAGATAAGAGTTATGCAATTTAGGTATCTTTTAGATAGACCCACTGTAGGGGTACCCCAATTGCCTCACCTTGCATCCCTGTTCAGCATGGAAGAAGCCAGAGTGATCTATGTCCTGATTCCCTATAGGAAATTTTGGTAAACTCTTCAGAGGATGGTGTGATAAAAATAGTAGATAGTAATTGGCTAGGCAGTTAGGGTGCAGGGCCCCAAAGACAAGGAGCCATTTTCATGGCTAAAAGTCAAAATGTCCTTGGGCCTTGTGGCAATATACTGTCTTCCAAAGGCCCAAAATGTCAAAAGTATTTGGGAGCTCTTATCTAATCCCTGAAAGATTTTTAGGGTTACCTCTTCAGAGGGGGAAAATTTTAGAGTAGCAAAAAGCCAAAGAAAGAAAGAAAGAAAGAAAGAAGGAAGGAAGGAAGGAAGGGTACATGAAGTTGTCAGAAAAAAGTG